TTGTTCAAGTAAAAGAAAAACAAAACAATCAATGAAAGAAATATTTTTTTTTTTATTGTTTTTAATAGGCTGCATATGTTAATTTACCAGTTCGAAATTTACTTGTTTTAGCTTGTACGAAAAGTATTCAGGTAAGACATAATAGATGAACTCATAATGAATGACCGGCGTTTTTTTTTCTTTTTATTATCACAAATAATATTTTATTTTTAAAAAAAATCTAATACAAGTTGTAGCATGTGAAGCTCTACAAGTTATAATAAAAATCTTATTTAATATAAGTACCTTTTGTTTTTACAATGGACGAAATTCTATGCGACTAATTTTTGGACGCTGCGAACAAGATCGTTTTTTTTATCTCATCGATTGAAGACAATTCTATTCATGTATGAAAAAATATTTTTCATTAGAATATGTCTATGCTGTTAGTTGAGAAGAAACAGACGAATAATGAAAGTTCCACAACTGATTAATCACTTTGAAGTCTGAACTATGTGCATCATATAGATCCTAATAAACTATAGGTACCCTGAAAACACTTTGGACTCTTAGCTTATTGCTTTTAAGATGCTGCAATTTTACGACAATTTTTAAGTTAATGCCATAGTTCTTCTCAGGAACACTGGGAAAATTTGCTTTCAAATTTCGACTTGAAACTTGCTATAGACACAGATCTTAATCGGAATACTCTATTGTGAAAATGAACTGAGACTTTCACAATAAACTATTCTCATTAGGTTCTGTCTCTATAGAAAAAATTTACAAATGAGTTTTTCTCGTATTTCTCAGGGGAACCACACGACTGACCAACATAAAACTGCAATATCTCAGCAGCAATAAGCTAAGGACTCGAACTCTTCTCAGGATACTCATAGTTTATTTGAGCCTACACAATGTATCTTATGTTTCCAATTATATGTGAATCTAGTGAAATATTATGACATGAAAATTATATTGAAATTGTTCTCTCACATGCGCAATCTGAAGACAAACGGCTTCTAGTCGACGATTTCATATATGAATATGGCAACACTACCTCATATACGCATTAGAAATCATTGGTATTGTGTGAATAGAATTTCCGTGTATAGTCCAGATGGCCAGTAAAATGTCTTGATCTCTACGTTTTGGTTTACTACTTTTGAGATGCTATCATCAACAATATGTAATGAGTTAACGTTAAAAACTATAATGTTTTAATTGATGACGATAGAAAAGGAACTCATCGTGTGTCAAAAATGACCTTGTTCATAGCGTTCTACCATGATCACATAGAATTTGTCCATGTTGAAAACCAAGGATGCATTTATTATATAAGATTTTTATTGTAACTGATAGAGCTTGACACGCTGGTTCTTGTACTATATTTAATTTTTAAAAAGACGTACCAATTGATAACAAAATAAAAGCCTCAAAACTAATCATTCATTATAGGTGAATCATTATTTGTAGAATGATTTTTTTTTTCATTATCTTGAATGTAGATTTATGAACCGGATGGAACAACGCATCTTCATATTCATATGCTTGATAAAACTTCTCCCAATCGAACAGGTAAAATAAATAAATAAATTTTAAGATAAATTTACACGATATTTATTATATTTAGAATCATCGATTTATTCGCGAGGTATTACTGGTTTTGGTCAAAATTCACTTTGTGTTGGTAAGTTTAAATTATCATTAATAATTATTACGTATTCTTTTAGGTAATCATCAAGGTGAAATACTTCTATTTAGTATTCCTCCAAAAGGTACAAATATATTTTTAAAAGAAACTATTCCAGGTAAATAATAAATTATAAATATACAAAAAAATAATTTTCATATTCTAGGTCATCAACATGGGATAACAAGTTTAGTATCAAATAGTGAATTGTTAATTTCAAGTGATACAAATGGAACAATATTAATTTGGGATAATCGTACAATGTTACAAAAAAATGTCATTGAACCAATGGATGATAGTGGTATAACATCAACATCAATATGGAAAAATTGTATAGCAGCTAGTTATGCTAATGGAATGATTCGATTTTTTGATGCTGGAAATGGTGAGTGAATATATGAATGTTTTTTGTTTTTTTTATTAAATTGAAAAATTAATATAGCTCAAATTTCTGGTTCAATTACTGCACATGCACGATGTATTAATGCAATTGATTGTAATGAAGAAGGATTAGTGGCATCTGTTAGTGATGATTGTTATGTTAGAATTTGGAAATTATCAGGTGATGCAGAAAATTTACAGGTAGATTAGATTTTATTTGAAATAAGATTAAATTTTATTTGTTTTTTTCTTTAAATTAAGATTTCACATGAATGTAATTATCATATTGAAAATAGTCAATTGGTTGGAGTGAAATTTTTGCATTTATTACGTTCTGATATAGCTGTATCGACATATGATTCAAATGAAATTATTGTTCTTCGTGCCTGATAAATGAATATTGATAAATAACGATAAATAAATTTTATTTTTTCTTGTCTTCGTTTATTTTCTAAGCACTAAAATTTAAATATTCATATCTATCGTATTTTTTTATAAAAAGTATATAACTATGTATTTTGAGAAGTAGAGATCATTCTTAACTAAAAACTATGATTGTATTAAACAAAAAAAGCTCGTTAATACTGCTCCTTTGAAATTAAAGTGTAGAATTGGCATGTTGTTTTTTAGCCTCATTATACTAATACAAAATACGTAAAGTGAAAAATCTCTAGCAGACTATGGTTGTTTTCTAAGGATAACCGATCTGTCTTATTTATATCTGCATTTCAAACAAAAATTTTTTACTGATCTTGCAGTTATTATTTTCTTTACTTTTCATTTTCGTATCTCGTTTTTCTTAATTTAGCATTATTATTATTCTATTCATTGATTTAGCTGTCACATAAGCCTGTTGTATATATCCATTATATCTATAGCAGATCGCAATACAAGGCACTATTGTACGTCTCGATAAGCCCAGAAATATTGATCTTGATTATTTTCCAAAGTCTCGCTTTTTATATTGACCATATTACGACTGTAGTAAATCAATATATCACTATCTATCGTTCTGGAACATCTTGAATAGAAACTTCATGTCATAGGTTTATCATAATGATGTTAATGAATTAACATGAAAATGAAATTGATATTAATCAAGATTTTTGAACAGTTTTATGATATTTTCTTTAATTTATCAAACCATTATATTATAATCGAAAGATATTTATTCAATAATTTTTTCCATTTTTTTGTTGATTTATTAAACTATTCTGACGTAAATCACAACTAATTTGTATTGATTTAAGTAATAGAGGTTCAATTCAAATTATCGAAAGTTCATAGTCAGCGAGGCAATTTAGAATAAGAAAAAAGAAAAATGTTTTAGTGAATTACAATTTATATTCGAATTACATGGACACTTTCATGTGGTTATTGATACATGTATACATTGATGATTTGTTATTTGTTTGCTGAGTTGCAGTTCATAGGATCACATTACCTCCACTAGAAGCGTTGTGACCGAGCCGATCTCCTCATTTATCTATCAATAGATTCAGATCGATTTATTTTATCAGATGTCTAAGTATATAATTGCATCAATGAAATCCTTTTATTAATGAAAATTTTTTGATATTTTTGATATCAATAATCATATAATTGATGTTTCAATAGACAGAAATGTTCGAATCGTTTTTTATTTAATTTTACTTGCTTTCTTCCATAGGTCGTGATAACCTATCGGTTGACAGATGATCATTTTTCTCAGTCAATAGCGATACTGCTCACTGTTTATGTAAGAATTTCGTTGTATCATTAATTTTCACTTTGAAATCTGAGTTTGCTAAATCAGGATTAATTTTATCTTTGATATGTGTTCCCGAAAGTATTGTTTTTATAGATTGAACACGTTCAGCATTTTCTTCATTATCAGATCCAGTATCCTCTTATCTTCATCACTACTTTTATTACAATCGTTGTCTTCATCATCATTAGTTTCATATTCATAATCATCTGCTTTTGAAGTGATGTCCTTAACAACGTTTATTGTTCCTGTTAAACTATCAGACACTCTTGACTTTGAATTTAATTCATTGAACATAAATTTACTTAATTTTTCTAATTTATAAATTTTATGATTATTTTAATAATGTTACTATTCTTGAATTTTCAATTAATCCAATTGATACTTCATATAATTCTAATATAACTTGTCCTACATCGGATTCTATTGGATTCTATCAGATTTCATCGGATTCTATGCTTCCGTTGGATTCCGTTTTTTCCCCTTGAATGAAACATTATTGATATACAGTCTGTGATAGTATATTCATGACGTCTTTCGCAATCTGTGATGCGAGAGAAGAAAATGTTACTAAGGTGTATGTCATGTTTGTGATGAACCGTTTCTGATATGTCTATTAAGGTCTGTCGATTCCGTCTGTCATGATCTATGGAAGTAGGGAGTGAGTGTAAATTTTTACTTAACATACTTCAACACTTGTTAGATTGTGTTTTACAAAATTGTTAACGTTGATAATATACATTTATGCATAGAAAACGCATGAAATAAAAAAGACAATTTCCAACAGATCATACTTGGTTATACTCTCATAAAAGTCAGTTAATCATATTTCTTCACGAAAAGAAAATCAGTAAATATAAAATATTATTTATTTCTTATTTCTATTTGGTTGAAGGAAAAGGAAAATAAAAAGCACCTATAATATAAAAACATTTATATTCGAAAAAAAATTTTTCAAACAAAAAAAGTAGAGATAAAGACTGTTTAATATCACACGGCACGCAAATATTCGTTAATAAAAGAGTAATAAAAAACTATGTGATGCACAGAATATGAAAAAAAATATACAGTAGGATAAAATAAATAAAAACAAAATACCACACGCTACGTTGATTCATATTCTTCTATTGAAATTCGTTTTTTTTTTGCTGAAATCGTTACTCAGACAGTTACTCATCGTGAAAAACAATGTGTATTTAAATGTTAAATACGTGTTGATTGAATTTGTTGAGCAGCTTGACTACGTTCAGTTGCAATCATTCGAGCTTGATTCTTTCGTGTTATTGTCATCTGACAAGGGCCAAGTAAAAATGGTTCACCATCTATTTCCATAGGTACATCTCGTCGAAATCGTAACTTGATTTCACTTCCTTTAGCAAAAACAACAAAAAGATTTATTTCAAAAGAAAAAAAAATTATCGTATGTTGTTTTTTTTCTGTACCTTGTGCTAGCCGCTGACCACGTCGTCCAAGTCGAATATGTGCTAATTCAAAATGTTTAAAAACAATTATTTCTAAATAACCATCGGAACAACTTTGTTCACGAAATCGCTCATCATCAGTTTGTGATCGAGCACACCAAAGATTATCATAAATTCCTTCCCATGGATTTGTTCCAGCTGCATATGAAGCTATGTTTAATATAAGTACAGCATCAGGTCGTATACGAAGTAAATCTTCATTTATACTTCTTCCATCGACAATAAGTTCAAAAAAATTAGCAATATTTCCACATAAATATCGACAATTCCAAAAAGTATTACTAATATGAATATACAAAACTAGGATTAAAAAACTCAATTGAAAAGAGATAATTTACCAACTAATACAACCATAAGCTAATTTATTCACTATTCGATTAGCATAAAAACTTGGATTTGCATTACGTTTTTCATGAAAGTCAAGTGCAATCTAAATAAATATGAATATTTTGATTAGGTAGTAAGAATAATTTACAGAAAAAGCTGTTGTACTATTCTGAAAAATCAATAAAACTTATTTTTCATGTGTCATGCTTTTGAAAATCATTATTCTTTATATTGTCGATGGATCGTCATCTATTAGAATGAAAAATCATGTGTTGACATATAATCAATCTAGATCAACATTGATATAATTATTAATCAATCATTGAAATATTCTACTGCATGTAATATTCGATGACACGTTTTTCTTTTTAAATAACTAATTCTTTACTTTATACTTCTAGTCAATGTACTTACGAGGGAACCATCTGAACTGATACCCGCTGTTTGAACTCATATTGAACTCACAAGAACGTCTTTGTGAGGCTAGCGAAAGACTAAAGAAATCCGTGTTCATGAGCTTTGTAGCCAAGTTAGGCTCATTTTATTGAATTTTCAACGCAGTTTTAGGTATATATCGAAAAATCAAAGAATAGAATTTCAACATAAAATTTGCTTATAAATAGGTCTAATGATTTATAGAATATCTTGAAAGTTTCAGTCTAAAAGAATATTTCTTTGCTCAAATATTGGATTTTCAACCAAACTAGATTTTCTTTGATGTATCTCTGATAAATGATTTTTTTTTCTGAAAACTCAATATCTCGATGAAGGAACATTCTTTTCGGTCGACATTTTCAGGATATTTTACGTGTTATTTGAACTATTTATGGACAAAATTTCATGTCAAAATATTACTCTTTTGATTTTTCAGTATATACCGAAAAAAACTATGTTGAAAATTCAGTAAAACAGTCATAACTTGACTCCAAAAGTCCATGGACACGAGCCCCCGTACATTTTTGCTAGTCTAACCAATAGTGTTTTATTCAGGATTTTTTCTTCGGAGGGGCGGTTCGAAATTTCAGGGGAGTGGAAAATTTTTTTTCGGGAGGGCAAGCCGTATAGTTCGTCGCACGATGATGGCAAGTCTCGAGGGGGCGAACTCGATTTTGTGGGGGGGGAGAGGAGCGCCGCCCCCTCAGGCACCCCTCTGGATAAAATACTGCTAACCAAGAAGTCCTTGTAGGGCCAATACAAACTCAAACGGCGGATAGCAGTTCGCGTGGTTCTCAACATGTTTTTGATATCTCTAATAGATACGTTCACTAGAGACAGATGTCATATATGTCTAAGAAATGCTGGATATATATACATGTTGTGGTCGAAGTTCATAATTCGTTCATACAGAATTGAAATTTGTAATCTCGTTCATGATCATCTCAGACGAAAATACGAACATTATTTGGATGAATCTAAGAAAGACAAAGAATTGAAGTATGAGGGTAGAAAGGAGGAAAGGTCTGAATGAACATACGGGTATTAATGACAATATGATTTTATGCTATTCTTCAATTTGCCATCGTCTAAATCTACCCCATTCTCGCCGTTATCTCTAATCTCTCGTACTCTAATTGTTAGTCTTTCTTCAAATTCTGCGTTCATCAAACAGCTATTTCAATTTCGTCTAGTCAAAATGAAAATTTCAACATTGTCTAAGATGATTATTGATGATATTAGAATTCGGCTGAATTCTAATTTCAACTACAACACATATTTAATAACATGTAATTTATTTTTTAAAAGCAAATATATATATTATTCATAATAATAAAATGGTATTAAAGAACATCTTAGTCAAATGAATTAATGAAAAAAACAATCTATGAAGAATTAATATTTAAAAGTTCTTTTCAATATTCATCGAAAATTTACCTGAGCATCAGCACCAAAACTTAGATAATTATTAAAAACAGGTTGTGGAATCTAAAAAATCTTAATTATGTGTTTTTTTTAAATTTTAATCAGTAGCATTTTTATTAACTTTTAAACTGGCAGTTCCACTATTTAAAGTAGCTTGAATATCAATGTTCCATCGATCAAGCAAACGTGTTTCCGCTCTTCCTAATGATTGAATAACTGGTGCTAATGCTTCACCACGATAACCAACACCCCAACCAAGAAATCTAGCCATATCATTTCCTGTTCCTAAGGGAATAACACCAACACTGACAAAATCCATATATTGCATTTGTAATGTATCAAGTGCTGATAAAACCCAACCAACTGTTCCATCTCCACCACATGCTAATATTAGAAAAGAAAAGAAATATTTAAAAGAAAAAACAAAGCAGATAACACAAACCAATAATTCGTAAATTTCTCACATGTTGATTTTCTGTTAAACCTTTTTGTGGTCCACGATCTTTAACAAGATCATAAACATTCTCTTCACCTATTTGAACTTTTAATTGATCAAATACAACTTGACCTTGCAAACCACCACTAGACATAGGAAAAAAGAGAGAAGTTAAAATTTTAAAAGTACAAAAACTAAATTTATACGATTTTGGATTGACAAATGCAATTATTTTTCCTTCATATGCATCGTGTTCGGTTATGTTCGTAAATGGCTTTGACACTGCCGACGAATTATTATCACTGGTTCGATTCATCTTTATTTATAGGAGATTCAAATCGATGCTTTACTTCAAAATATTATTGACAATGATGAAAATGAAGCATCTAAATATTTAAATCGATTTAATATATAAATCTAACTGTTAATATTCTTGAAAAAAAAATCTTCATCTGTTAGGGATATATATAAATTGTTTACTCTCTTCCAATTGGTCAATTCTAATCCATCAATATTTTTGTCTTACAGTAGTTGAAATCATAAATATAGAAGAATAAAACAATCCTTCACGATGTCATCTCGACATCGTTTTCTTCAACGATCAATTACGCATGCTTCATTTCATAATCGTCTTACTGAAGAAGATGTTATGTGGCGTCGACGTGAACATGAACAAGAAGATGTAGAACAAAATAATAAAAAACGACGATATCGATCCCGATCACCACCTTATGAAAAACGAAAACGGTATTCTCGAAAACATCGTTCATCATCTTCACCAAATGATGAAAGTAAAAACAACAACAAAAATAATAATAATAACCAAATTGATGCTGAATTTGGTCCACCATTACCAACGAATCTGGGTATAAATGCTGATCGATGGGATCATGCTTTTTTTATGCAACGATATCCAGATGAATATGAAAAACAAATAAATGAATCCAAACGAGAACATTCTACAAGTAGTGAGGATAAGAAAAAAAATAAACAAAAACATTCCAAACATCATCAACATAAAAGAATGGATGAAGAAAATAAAAAGAAAAGTAAACAAAGACATAGATCACGAAGTTAAAATTTATTATTATTTTTTTTTCCAATAAGTCAGATAAATTGTTTATTCATTTATATTACTATTTTTTTTTGTTCAATAGTTAATAAAACGAATCAATAATAAACAAGATTATCCAATAAATACATCATTATTATCAAAAATAAGAACAAATAAATTGAAAATGAATTTAACAAAATCTATATTCATTTTCTAGCCTCTTTCAAGGAGTCTGTAGAAATTTGAAAGCATCGATTCAATATTTCTCTAGAACCTTTACTTGAGAACTTATAATTCGAAATATTTGCTCGTTCATCTACTGTATTTGAAATAATTTTTATTATTACTTTGAATAATTTTTGATTCGCTCAAACTCAATTTACGGGCTTTGAAAAAGTTGATTCATAACTCTTTAAGTCAAGAATCCTTCAAAAATTTAATGACATATTCAGAAAAAAAACACAAAATTGTACTTCAAACCGAATATTTTTCAAATTTTTACAGACTGAAAAATGAACAAATATTTTTTTCAAACTAATTTTCGATCATCCATCAGTCAACATGATGAATGAGTACTTACCTATACGGACAACAAACAAGAGAACATTTTTTTTCGATTAGTCAAGATGCTATCAGTCATTTTGGCAAAAGCTAAATATTTTACATTTCTATACAACCAATTTATATTAATCACTGTCTTAATTAATTAATGTACATGCACTAGTTATTCATCCCTAATCTTGAGAAACTAGTAACATATCTGTTCATATTATGAGCTAAATTCAATATTGATTGATCATTTATTTGTAATGCATCTTTTGTTTAACTGTTCTATGATTATTTGAGACAATGAATTATATTTTGAGAATAAATAGAAACTTTGTCATGCAATATTTGTATTCATTGATCGATGTATGCAATGAGAAAATACATTGATTAAAATCACTTTGATACCGATAATATGTTTTCGATTGACTTGTTAATTAGTATATTTCATCTTGGTTTTTCTGTTCATTGGCAGCTAAACAAGTAACAACAACTATTTAATATATTAATATCTATTTCAATCTAAATATTATTTCTAGTCATAAGAATAAATCATTAAGATTTCTACAATGTTTCTATTATTTACAAAATCGAAAACAACAGGAACAAACCTATTTTTCTAACTTTTCTCAAGCGTAATAGAACAAACTGTGTGTCTTTAGTTAATCTAATCGATCTAAAGCAAATCGAATTAGATTTAACTTAATTTGTGCTGATATTCCGTTCTTACCAAAATGTAATTCTGCATTGATCAGATCAAACTGAAGTGCAATCATCCATTTACAGTGATGTGTTCGGTTTGTCATAAGAAAATAATCAGATAAAAGATGATGTGTATCATCGTATCAATTTGAACAGGAAAATCAACATAAAAAAAAATTTATCTGAAAAAAAAAAACACAATTGTAATTAAAAATGAATGAAAGTTGATATGCAACAAATACACTGAAGTTATACTAATAGAATGACTATATATAAGATTTATGAAGAATTCAGAATTTCAATATTCAAATCCGCAATTAAAGATTTTCGAATTATTAATAAATAGTCTAAATACTATCTATTCACGACATTAATTGTTCTTTGTCAATACACTCTATAAATAAAATTAAATATTTATATATCGAATAATGATTGTATTGATCGTTTTGTATCAAATTCATCTTCAAATAATATACATGCATTTAGTACAGCATAATTTTCTTTCAAATAATTATTATAATACGTCAATCAATTTTTTAAATCATATTGCATAGTTGCATGTAATGTTCTTGAACTATATAGACGTTTTTCAATGTCTATTAGGTTTATTGTTTTCGAGGAATTGTACTAGGGATGCACTAATTATTCGGATGTAATATCCAAGATGACATTTTTTTTTCTTGAATATAGTTCTCTGTGGATTGTTTATATCAGTCATGATCAGTTTTTATTTGCTCTAGTCGAAATTCATGAAATACAAAACAAAGGTTTCGGAATAAGTCGAAAATTTGCAGTTTTAGTTTTTTTTTGACCAATTTCAACTGATTTTAAGATTTGTGTTTTGTATTAGACGAAATCTAAGAAGCAAATGCGGTCATCTTTGACATTACGTTCTAGAAATTGGTACATCCCTATATTCTACTAAGTCTAATAATTGTGTTTAGTGTCTTCTTTGAAAAACATGTAATAATAACTAATATTCATTCTCGTCAAGAAAAATATTACATAAATGTGATATAAATTTAATGAAGTTTGTTTTAGCTGAGAATATTGTTGTTATTTTAAAAGATTTATAAATTTTACTACGATATTCATTTTAGTTTCTATCGGAATGCGTTCATTACGAAATCAAAAACCAAGTCAAATAGTAATGTCTGATAAGATCAATACAAATACAATTTCTCGTATTCATAATATTAAGAAATCTACCGAATGTTTTTAATCATTGATATTATTTTTAGTAGTTCTACTTGAATACAATAGTTATGATGCCATGCATATCTTATGAATGTAATACGAAGAAAAACAGAGACAATACTATCGAAATAAAATCAAAAACATCTAATCAATATTTGTGGTCTGTCACAAAAAAAAAATAATTTACTCTTGATCAACTGAATTTATTGATTGCTTAAGATTTTGAAGTCGAATATGAGAAAATTTAAGAAGATTGTCCACAAAAATATCGAAATCTTCTAAAATACATCGATGACTAACAATACATACACGAATATAAAGTTGATTATATATACGAGTTGTTGATGCTACTGCTATACCAGATAATTGAATATCAGCAAGAAGTTCATTATTAAATATATCAATTAATTCATTATTCAATATATCTAATTCTTTAGGTTCCAATCGAAAATTAACGATATTTAATGTTATAGGACGAAGAATACGAATAAAATCTTTATATTTTTCTAATAATGAAGCTAAATATTGAGCTTGTTGACAATTATCTGAAATTTTTTGACCTAATTTTATAATTCCATGTTCTTTTAATGTAAACCAAACTTTTAATGCTCGAAATGGGCGTGATAATTCAAGACCTAAATCACAAAACCATGGTTTATCACCTGCACAACCACGTTCATTATCAGCTAAATATGATTGATGAACAGAAAAAGTCGATAAAAGATGAGTACCATTACGAATAAGAACACAACCAGCAGCATATGGACAATGAAACCATTTATGAAAATCAAATGCTAAAGAATCAGCTTGTTCAATACCTTGTACTAAATGACGACGTTCTGGATCAAGTATAACTAAACCACCAAAAGCACCATCAACATGAAACCACATATTTTCTTTACGAGCAATTGTTGAAAGTTCAATAAGATTATCAAAAGCACCTGTATTTACTGTGCCTAAAATATACATACAAAGAAATAAGTTTAAAAAACAAATTATAAAAAAAATGTTTTTTAATACTAAAATTATACCGGCATTTCCAATGATACAAAATGGAATTAAACCATTTTTTCGATCATTTTCTATTGTTTTTTTTAATTCATCAATTTTAATAGAAAAATTATCATCAACAGATATTGAATGCATTGCTTTCAAACCAAATCCTAATACTTCTAATGCTTTACCAATACATATATGTACCTCTTTTGATGCATAAACAATTAATTGTGGTCCATTGACAATTCCATCTTGTCTAATATTAATTAAAAATTGTCGACGTGCTGTTGCCATACAAATAATAGAAGCCATTGATGTTCCATTAACAACAATACCACCATTATTATCTTTAGGAAAATCAAATAATTGTCGCATCCATTGAATAACTGTTCGTTCAACAAGAACAGCACTATGAGTACATCCTCCTGCATTGATATTCATAGTTGCCACCATCATTTCAGCTAATATACCACCTAATGTACCTTCACCCATAACCCATCCCCAAAAACGAGGATGAATATTACCTCTAATATATGGAAAAATATATGTTAATGCATCATGACATACCTTTGATAATGCTTGACCTTGTTCAGGTAAAGATTCCTGTTCAATAGATTTACGAACTTCGATGGGAATCGGTTGCCAAACAGGATGACTTCGTACTGTTTGAATGAATTCTATAGATGAATCAAGCATTTGATGTGCGATATGTCTACTTGATAACCAATCTGTAGGATCAAGAGATGTATTATTTATTTTATTAATTTCTATTGATGTAGATAATTTTAATTGAGCAATTTCATCGATTAAATTAATCATTT